TGCAGCTTAGATCATTTGCGTCAATGGCCCTGCTACACTGGGGGCCGACGATGGCGAGGAGGATTTGGATGGGATTGAGCAGGATGCCTGGTACGAGGACGATTATCCTGATGGCGATGGTGATGGTGGAGATGGCGCTGCTGGGTCTGGTGGCGAGTAATTATTCCTTTGGTTTGTAATTTTTGTGCTCACTTTTGTGGGCGTCTGTTTAGCCCGTGTAAAGAATGTTTTTGAAGTATGAAATGCTATTTTCACTACTTATTTCTGATTCTTTTCTCTGTTTGATCTTGTATGCTTCTTTCCTTTGTTTTATCATTTGGTCGCCTTAATCACAAGAATTTTGGCTTTGGTCATGGACGGGGCATGTAGGTGTTAATTCGAACGAGGTCGAATGTGAGTCGATTCGAGTGAGGTCGAACATTAGTTAATCCGAACGAGGTCGAATTAGTTAGTTTGAGCGAGATCAAATGTCACTTTATTTAATTCGAACGAGGTCGAATTCGAGTGAATTACAGCTAGATCGAATGTCAATTTATTTAATTCGAACGAGGTCGAATTTGAGTTAATTCGAGCGAGGTTGAATTTCACTTTAGTTAATTCGAACAAGGTCAAATGTTAGTTAATTCGTTCGAGGTTGAATGTCACTTTAGTTAATTCGAACGAGGTCGAATGTTAGTTAATTCGAGCGAGGTCGAATGTCACTTTAGTTAATGCAAACGAGGTCGAATGTTATTTTATTCGAACGAGGTCGAATGTGAGTTAATTCGAGCGAGGTTCAATGTAAGTTAATTCGGGCGAGGTCGAATGACACTTTAGTTAATTCAAACGAGGTCGAATGTTAGTTAATTCGATCGAGGTCGAATGTCACTTTAGTTAATTCGAACGAGGTCGAATGTTATTTTATTCAAACGAGGTTGAATGTAAGTTAATTCGAGCGAGGTCGAATGTCACTTTAGTTAACTCGAACGAGGTCGAATGTTAGTTATTCGAGCGAGGTCGAATGTCACTTTAGTTAATTCGAACGAGGTCGAATGTTATTTTATTCAAGCGAGGTCGAATGTTATTTTATTCGAACGAGGTCGAATGTAATTTATTTGTTTGTGGCCATGGGCCGAGTAGGTACTAGGGCGATGTTGTTTTGGAAACATGGGTAAACGTACATTTGTGCTTTGCTCATACTTGGAGAAATTTACATATTTCTCGGCCTGGCATTCCAGTCCCGGTCTATCTAGTCCCTTTATTGGGCGACCTGGAGATATGTCGAGAGGTTGGGTGATGAACTGGCTATCCCGTGCCTTTTCCCGTCCGTACTTCGACTTGGAGTGTCCCCCTTATCGCCTTGTTAAAAATCTCCTTGAGAAAACCCAATTGGGACAAAACTCAAGCGAGGGAAAAAGAGTACGACTTGGAGGACGCTTGTTCTTAAAAGTTGAAGTACTTGAGGTGGGGCGACGTTCAGTTTGTTCGGTAGCAGTTTTCCTTCCATTGTATCTAGTTGAAATGACCCTTTGTTTGCTACTGTTGTGATTTTGTATAGGCCGTCCCAATTTGTTTCCAGTTTGCCCTCCCGCAGGTCTTTGCTTGCTTGTGTTTTGGCCTTGAGCACGTAGTCCCCGACTTTGAGTGGTCTGACCTTGGCCTTTTTGTTATAGTAGCGTTTTGCCGGTTGTTTTTGGGCGATCATCCTTTTGTAGGCCATATCTCTCCATTCTTCAGCTTCATCGAGGTCCTGCCTTCTGCTTTCGTCGTTCCTCGGCTCGCTCTCATGGGAGTATCTCAAACTGGGCTCTCCGACTTCGACTGGTATTACTGCATCAGTCCCATAGACTAATGAGTAAGGGCGTCTCTCCTGTGCTCGTCTTTGGTGTTGTGCGGTATGCCCATAGCACTTCTGGAAGTAGTTCTGGCCATAGTCTCTTGGCCTCCTCGAGCTTTTTCTTCATGATGTTTAGTATTGATTTATTGGAGGACTCCGCTTGCCCGTTGCCCGCGGGGTGGTATGGGGAAGAGAGTATTCTTTTGATATGCCACTTCTCAAAAGATTCGGCGACCTTTTTCCAGTAAATTGGGGTCTGTTGTCATAGCTGATCTCTTTGGGGAGCCTGAAGCGGCACACTATGTTTTTCCATATGAAGGCTATCACTTCCTGCTCGCGTATTTAAGCGAATGCTCCTTCTTCTACCCATTTAGAGAAATAGTCAGTTAAAACCAAAAGAAAACCTACATTACCTCGTCTTGCGGGGAGGGGGCCGACGTTGTCCATCCCCCACTTGTTGAAAGGCCAAGGGGAAGTGACCGAGTGGAGGTGCTCGCCTGCTTGGTGGATCATTGGGGTATTTTTTTGGCATAGCCCGCATCTTTTCACGAAGCCTACGGCCTCTTTTTTCATAGTAGGCTAGTACTAACCTGCCCGTATGAGGCATCTAACCTGAGCTCGGTTATCGGAGTGGGCCCCACAGTGGCCTTCGTGGACTTCTTCTAGGATGCGCCGTGTTTGATTCGGGCCTAAGCATTTCGTTAGGGGGCCGTCGTACGTACTCTTGTATAGATCAATGTGAATGATGTTGTATCTGGCCGCTTGCATCCAAAGTTTCTTTGCTTCCTTTTAATCATCTGGGAAAACGCCATCCTGCAAGTATGTAACAATACGGTTGCGCCAGTCCCAGGTTAGACTTATAGTCCTTACCTCAATTTGATCTATCGACGAATGGAGGAGGGTGACCACGTTTCCTTCGCCGGTTATACTTTTAGTGGCTGCCGCTAATTTGGAGAGTCCGTCAGCTTCGGTGTTTTGTGCCCGAGGGATTTGGTCGAGCTGGTATTCATCGAGCTCGGGCAGTAACTTGCAAATTTCGGCCTGGTATTTTTGCAACCTTTGCTCTTTGATCTGGAAAGTCCCTGTGACTTGGTTGACAACGAGTTGAGAGTCGCAGCGTAGGACGACCCGCCTCGCCCCGTACTTGAGTGCTAGCCTTAATCCTGCAATCCTGGCCTCATACTCGGCCTCATTGTTAGTCATGTCCGGGCACCTTATGGACTGGCAAATTACTTCGCCTGTCGGGACCTCGAGCACAAGTCCCAGCCCGGACCTTGACGCATGGAAGCGTCGTCGCTGTACAAAATCCATTGATCTCGTGTTTGCGGAGAAGCGTGGGCGACTTCTTTTTCGACTTCGGGCATTATTTTTACGTTGAAGTCAACGACGAAGTTGGCGAGGACTTGTGATTTTATCGTTGTCCGCGGTTGATATGTGATATCACGCTCGCTTAATTCTGTGGCCCATTTAGCTAACCTTCCTGATAACTCGGGCTTCTGCAAAATACTTCTCAGGGGGAAGGTTGTGACTACCGAGATGGGGTTGCACTGGAAGTAGGGTCTAAGCTTTCGTGAAGCTACGACTAAGGCCAGTACCAGTTTTTCGAGGTGAGGGTACCGCGTCTTGGCGTCGATTAAGTTTTTGATAATGTAATAAATGGGAGATTGCGTATCTTTGTCTTCTCGAACCAGGACTGCACTCACCGCTACTTCAGATACGGCGAGGTAGACGAGGAGATGTTCCCCAGGTTCTGCTTTGGCAAGCAATGGTGGCGATGATAGATAAGCATTTAACTCCTTCAAGGCTTGAACACACTCAGAAGTCCAAAGGAGACCGCTGTCCTTCTTGAGCACTACGAAAAACTTCTGACACCTGTCAGATGATCGTGAGATGAATCTCGACAAGGCGGCAATGCGGCCGGTTAGCTTCTGAACCTATTTTTGGCTGGTTAAGTGTTTTGGTATTCCCTCTATGGCTTTGATTTGGTAGGGATTGACCTCGATTCCTCTTTGTGATACTAGGAAACCCAAGAATTTTCCTGAGGTTATGCTTTGATCAAATCTGGGGTAGCGGGAATGAGTCTTTGGGCATGCTTTGTTCAAATCTGTAAAGTCCACGCACATCCGCCATTTTCCGTTCTTCTTTTACACAATGGCCACATTGGCAACCCATTGGGGGTATTTTGATTCCCTGATGGAGCCGTTTTCCAGCAATTTTTCAACCTTCTCACGGACTACATTGTTTATTGCGGAATTGAACTTCCGCCTAACTTGCCTTACCAAGGGGTAGAATGGGTTGACGTTCAACTTGTGTGTCGCGCCTTCGGGATACCTGGCATGTCTGCATGTGAAAAGGCAAACAAGTCTGCGTTATTAGTTAAGAAATGACGAAATTTACCCGGTTCTTGAAGCTTGCGGCCGATGTAAGCTTTATTGTTGTGGTCATTGTCATCAAGTTGGACGGGGTCGGGGTCTTCGATGACATCCGCCCTTTCATCAGTGCTCGACCTCAACCCTGTTAATTACTATGCCTTCTTACTTTGCCCTTCATTTGTTGGGTTTATGTGCAATCCTGGGCGATGCGATAGTATTCTCGGGATGTGCGTTGTTCTCCTCGTATGCTGAACGCTCCCCATGGGGTGGGAAATTTGATAACTTGGTATAAGCTGGAGGGGGTGGCCTTCATGGAGTGTATCCAGGGTCGACCTATTATGGCGTTATACGTCGTGTCTTGGTCCATGATGTGGAATGTGGTTTCCATAGTGACGCTGCCAGCCAGGACGGGGAGTGTGATTTCTCCAGATGTTCGTTCAATTGCATTGTTAAAACCGGTTAGCGTGATGCAGCGTGGCACTATCTTATCCTCGAGTTTCATCTGTGCAAGTGCTCGAGGGTGGATAATGCACGTGCCGCTACCATCGTCCACCATAATGTGCTTTACATCTGTATCTGATATTCGTAAAGTGATAACAAGAGCATCATAGTGAGGGAAAACCAAACCATGGATATCTGACTTATTGAAGATGATACCTTCTTCAAGTTTGTCGTACCGTTCATGAGTGATCGAACATTTGAGTTTGTGGGTCGTGGTGAACTTTACGCTATTCATCGATGCGTCATTGCCTCCGATGATCATTTGGATGGTGCGAGTTGGTGAAGGTGGTTTTGGCGGCCCCTGGTGTTTTTCATGTCCTCGGGCGAAGTTGGCCTTTCCTCGATCGCTCAGTAACTCTTTCAAGTGCCCATGGTGAAGCATTCACGACCTCCCGCCTTAGAGCGATGCAGTCCTCGATTTTATGACCTCGCTCTTGGAGGAATTCGCAGAGGGCGTTTGACTTCCTGGTGCTTGGGTCGGACCTCATCTTTTGTGGCCTCTTCACTTTTGGGCCGAGCTTCTCTAATGCGTAGACTATTTCTGAAGGTGACACACAAAAATTGTGAGCAGATAATAAAGGGGGCATACCTTTCTCGCTCCGGTGAGTCCCTGTCCTTGGCCTAGATGAACCTTCTTCGTGACAGGAGGGGGGCATGATGGCGCCCCTGATATATGGTTGATGCCTTTCTCGGTTGGGTCGTGGAGCTGCTAGATCTCTTCTGGCATCGTTTCTTCGGTCTTTCCTGGACTAGGCCTGTATCGAGGTCAATCATTGGGTCGGCCCATTCAATTCGTCTTCATCAGCACGGACTTCGGACAATAGGCATTGTGTATTTCACCCCAAGTGGTTGGGGATAATTCATAAGCCGACTCAGCAACTTTCTGGTCGCCCTCGAACGATTTCTGTTCAGCCCACTTTGGGAAGCTGCTACAGCCATGCCTTCTGATACATTTGGTAAGGTCATCCTTACACGGTTGAATCGAGCGACGAAGTCCCTCAGTCCCTCTCCAGGTGCTTGTTTGATGGCAAATATGTCGTTCACTTTTGCCTCCACCTTTTTAGCTCCTACATGGGCCGTTACGAACTTGTCGGTTATCTCTTCGAATGTTCCAATGGAGCGCGCGGGCAGTTGTGAATACCAAGTTAATGCACCTCTGGTGAGGGTTTCGCCAAACGTTTTCAACAGGATGGAGGGTACTTGTTCTTTGGCGAGATCGTTGCCCTTTACTGCGGTGACGTAGTGAGTCACGAGATCTTCAGGATCGGTCGTACCGTCGTATATTTTTAAGTAAGGTGGCATTTTGAAGGTCTTGGGTATGGCATGCGGGGCGGCTTCATCATTGTAGGATTGTTCCACGAACCAACCAGCATCTCTTTTTGGTAAGAGTTTTGGGGCACCTGGTATTTTGTCTACCTTTTCTTGATGCTCTTTCATTTGGTCTCGAAGAATTTTGTTTTCGTTTTCCGTTTCTTCCATCTTCCTTAGAATGGCTATTAGGGTGTCGTCACCTGCATTACTAACATTGTGAGTGATACTTGTTATTGGAAGGAGATGGTCGTGCTGCTCGGCTATTATGGTTGCAACGCAAGTTCTTACATTTTCTCTGATTATTTTCTGGGTAGTCTTGTCGAGGATGTCGGTCAGCGTGTTTGTCAGCCAAGCCTCAAGTAGTTTCTTCACTGCTGGTGGCGCTTCTTTCGTTGTGGACGTGGAAACCCCTTTACTGTGGACGTTGTGATACTACCATAAGGGAGGGGTGAGCCACTTTGCCGGGGGGGGGGGGGGGAGGCATTTGGCGTTACATCTTCACCCTCCGTTTCAGAAACCTCGTTGACGGTGTTTAAGAGGTTGGTGGTGAGATCGGCCACTGTTTTCATCCTTTCTTCTCCGTTACCTGCCATGTTAGATCTGTGTGTACAAGAGAGTGGGGGTTTTGCATTTTTTTGTGTGTGCTAGTTATAGATCTAGAAGAAACTAAAATTTAAACTAGGAAATCCCCACAAGCGGCGCCAAATTGTGTGACCAAAAACGTAGATATTTGATTAAACTAATTAATTTTATATAATGAGGGGTTAAACCTAGTTAATGGTAATAACTTCAGATTTATAATCGGTTAATATAAATAATGTAGAGCAGCGTTGAAAGAAGATTGAATGCAGTGAATATTCAATGTTTCAATATCATTAATGAAATGGGGGTATCAAGTAACAAAAATAAAAATAAATGGTATTACAGTAAATATAGAGAATGATTCACCCAATATTGAATGAGGCGGATGATTCCTCCTTCTGACAATGATGAATGATAGACTACTAGATTATTGGACCCTTCTCGGATCTGATGAAAAAAGTGTGGAATAATAGATAATCGAGTCATTTTAGAAAGGTAGTGTTTGTATTTTATCTAGAGAGAAAGTATGTTTTTTAAAGAATGTTCTTATCAGAGAATTTTACATGCCTTTTACCTTATCTCGCTTTCTGTTTATAGGGATATGCCCCCAATTAATCTTAAAAATACAAGTACAGAGAATATCCAACGGAATATTCTCTTAAAGATCCTGCTACTAAACTAGCCGTTACTGCCTCTTCTGATACTTGACCTCGGCCATGATTGGCTGCTCGGCGGTGAGTCCTATTGGTTACTAGTCGACCTCGGCCAAATTATTTTATGTAATACCACTTCGTGTCGAACATCCCTAGGCAGATTTTGACCTATACATTAATATGGTTAATTTTACTGATAATTAATGTTAAAAGGTGAATTTCTTAATCTGTGTGAAAATAGCTAAAAAAATCACTTATTGCGTACCGTAGGGAGTAACAAGTGTGGTAGTGGAGTGATAAATACTTATTCATCCTTAATTAGAGATCTGAGTGTCAGGGATATACTAGATATGCCCTAGATCCAATCTCATATTTGATGATTTGAACATATTTTTGTGAACATTATTTGATATAAAAATATATGGCATCTGATATTCTTTTATCATAGTTATTATTAATTATTTGATTAACTTGATAAGGTCCTTGATTAAATTTTGAGACTTGACATTGTGATGGAGATCATGATAATGAGAGTGAAGTCTCTTATAATTTAATCTAAATTTGTTTGTGATCACAGGATTATTAAATTGGACATTAGTAATCCGGTTAGATCAATATTTATGTGATCGTCTTTATTGGATAAAGATTAGTTGATCTCATTAACTAAATCACATATATAGATGATGCATATAGCGATATGATCATTGAACCGACTCATTGGATAATTCCTAATGGTTAGAATTGCCATAAATTGTCAATAGGATATTCTCTTGAAGAATGTGATGTAAGAGTTTCCTTTGACCTGAGATCGTCATAGTAATTGACAAGTTATTTATTGTGCTTTGATACTAGACACCTATGGCCTAGGGCGATAGCTGAAAGGATATTGGGTACGATTAAATACTTGTAGAATTAGTGATTGGTCAAGATGGAATCTGTCAACTCTTGGTAATGAGTTTAAGCTCCATGTTGTCATGAATTATAAAACGACCAAATTAAGACCTTGGCCAGGGCAATTGAATGAAAGAAGAGAAGAGTTTCTTAGGTCATTCAGTGGTCGATTATATTTGACATGAACACATAGGTGGTCGCCTATTAGGATTTGACAGTTGAACCATATCCTGGGGTGACCCAGAGCTATAAGGACAGAAGGAATTAATACATTATTCTTCTATTGGTTCTTGAGAGTAAATTGTATACTTCATGCTATCCGGTCATTAAGGAGTGTTGCTAGACGCCACCCTTGAATAGTATATTGATGTGATTAATTTACTACCGGCTTAGTGTTGAACCTATGGAGTCGCACACTAACGAGTGTTCTGATCTTTGCTAAAGGATTAATTAAATTATTTGATAATTAAATTAAAGAATTTAATTATTCAAATAAATTAAATTATTAGTCCAAATGAAATATTATTATATTCTTTGCTAGCACAAAGGATATTATTAATATTGTGAACAAATTGAATTTTTTTATTTGGAAGAGAAAACTAAATTATATCTCTTGAAAATATATATGTGATATATATTTAGTGCACGTAATTAATATTTGTTTATATAAGATATTTTAAAAATTGCACGGGGCGCCCTATTTAGTCGCCCCCATTTAACCTAGACCCATTTTTTTTAAAAGTTTTAACTTGTACCCACTTTTTAAACAACTTCAGCCCCCTTTCTCCTCCTCCTTCTCCTCCTTCGTTTTTTTCTTCTTCTTCTTCTTCTTTCTTCTGCTGCTGTTGGTGCTGCTATGAAACTTCAGTTCATGGGATGATTGCCATAAGTATGGTTATCAGATTATTTTAAAATAAATTATAAATAATTACGTAAGTTAGTAGATAATAATTTGTAAATATTTTCACATAATTCTGTTCTTTTTACGTTTATTATTTCCAAAATTTATGATTTAGATATTGTTGGCAATCTGATTATTTTGTAATAGCAATACACTATGAAAGAATAAGGTGATTATTTATCTAGTATGTTAGAAAGCTTTTTCAAAAACTTCAGCAGAAGATGTTGAAGTTATTTAGTTCATTTGTAAAAACTTCAGCACTATATAAGCTGAAGTTTTTGAAAAAGCTTTCTAACATACTAGATAAATAATCAGATTACNAAATAACTTTAGCATCTTCTGCTGAAGTTTTTGAAAAAGCTTTATGACAAAACTAATGAATCCAGGACAAAAAAACTTCAACTTATGTGCTGAAGTTTTTACAAATGAACCAAATAACTTCAGCATCATCTGCTGAAGTTTTTGAAAAAGCTTATCCAGGACAAAAAAACTTTAGCTTATTTAGTGCTGAAGTTTTTGAAAAAGGTTTCTAACATACTAGATAAATAATCA